TCTCTCTCTCTCTCTCTCTCTCTCTCTCTCTCTCTCTCTCTCTCTCTCTACTTTGTGACCCTCACCTAGAGCCGCACAGTCACGCGAGCGGCTGCTCCACCGATCGAGGATTGAGCTCCGATGTGTAGTCAAGCGTGGAAAATGACGAAAATGGCACGTGCGCGTGTCTGCGTGCCTGCATAAAGTTGTGGACCATTCACTCGCAGATCCACACAGTTTGGAGTCACAACAGTCACGAGTCGTGAGTCCCCATGTCATGCTTCCATCCACGCGATGATTCCCACTCACGAGCCTGAGGGCCGTCGCTCTCACGACACTCTGCCGAAGCATCCTTCAGACTCATTCTAAGGCCATGATCTTTGGAGAGGAAAAACATGTAGGATTGTCTACGAGAAGCGGACAGTGATCCGCGCGAGTATCACTTTCGCTTTCTTTGGCTTTCAGCGTGTCGAGACTCAGCAAAGCGACCAGAAGTAGCATGGGCAGAAGAGCAGGGGATGGCAGAACAGCATGCAACAATCAACTCTTCGCTTGGAGACCGACTCCAGCGACGGCTTTGAGCACCGCAACCACCGTCCTTTCCGCGACTTGCCGCAAGCGTTCGTTGCCTCTTGAAGCTCCCTGATCCGGCTCACACGAGAGGTTCCTCTCCAAAGCCATAGCTCTCCTGTGCCGTCCAATCGTTTCTTTGCAGCATGAGCTCTGCTGCAATATATGAGGAAGACTAGTGCTACCCTGACTCACCAATCTGGTGTATGAGTGCTTGAACCCTTGCCTCTCCACAACCTGTACACCTCTTCGTACATCCTTGCCAGCTGCAGCAGGCTCACTCGTCCAGTCTTAGAGCTCAAGTTGGCAGAAGTGCTGCCGGCCGCTGTCCACATAACTGCCGATGTGAGTAGACGGGTCATCACGGTCCTGACGGTCTCTCCTTGTGCCTTCTAACGATGCGGCAGGACGAGGACATCAGGGTCAACAATCTGATGTCAGCACTGGAAGCAGCGGTGCAAAATCGCAGCATTCAAGCTACCTTTGCCGCTTCGAGAGGAACACCAGCCGTCTTTTGCAAGTGAGCCCATCTATTGAGACCCTCGAACGGCCCCCCTTCCATGAACCCTACAGCAAGTGGAAACGATCAGCACTGCCGCTGTCCCTAGACTCGATCGTAGCACTCACAAAGGCTCATGGTCTTGAGAAGATGTGCTTTATCAGCAGGCAGAAGCTCGCAGTGTCTCTGGAATTGACCAGGTGGGGTAAGACAGGACATTTGACGCTCAGCATGGCGCTGCCAGCACCCTCTCAACGTCCAACTCACGTCCCTCTGCTCTTCAGGGGCTTTTGGCACTAGTCCAGCGAAATGAAAATCTGCAGATTTACCGCCGATTCGAACGGTGGCCACGGTGGAAGGTGCCAACTTGGCGTCCCGATTTGTTGCGTCCTGCACTCCGTCATCGGCGCCATTGCTCGTACCCTGCGCGGAACTTCGCTTGGTAATTTTGGGCTTGCTTTGAGACCTGCTGGCAAGACTGCACATGGGGTGCGTGTGGTGTTCATTTCTGACCCGATGGCATTTGGGCAGGGGCGAGTCTCGAGTGCGCTCGCTGGGGCCGCTTGGACTGGAAGCGACCTGGATGCTTTCTCCTCTTTGCGCTTGCTGACTTTCTCCCATCGCTTCACCAGGTTCGTAATTGTCCACGTCCGAATCTTCTTCGTCCATCGATGTCAGCTCGCTGCTGTCGCCGTTCCCAAAGTACAGAAGCTTGGCAGCGCTTCGTCGTTTCTTCCTTTGACAATCGGGTCTAGCTTCTTGTTTTGCGCTCTTTCGGCTCTGCTTGCTGCTCGTATCTTTGGCCACGTCGCCACGCGCGCACGCTACTCCCTCTACCACGTCATTCGCCTCAAAATGCTTCCAGTCTCCATGATCAGAGTCAAATTCTTCGATGGGCGAATCAAGAGCGATTCGCTTTTGACTCTTGAACTGCTTCACCATCTCTTCGCAGTGACATTCGATGTGCGGAGCGGGCTGCCATTCGTCTGCGCCGCACGGCAAGTCTGACCACTTGACGCGAAACTGCAAATCGTCAATGAGATTCGTGATTGTCGCGAGTGACGTCAGGTGAAGGGGTGAGCAAAGCAGGCTGACGAATCGTCGAAATGCAAGGAAAAGCGCGTGCGGTATGGTATGGTACGTCTTTGTCCGCGCGCCTCTCCCATCTCGAGAACCCTCGGACTCACCTCATTGCGACTGCGAGAGTAGCCTACGATGCCCTGCACCTCGTAAAGCTCGCTGTCTTCGCTCGACATGTCTGACGCATGCAAAAGGTCAGTCGCAAGTGTGGGTGCGCGCAAGAAGGGCGAAAGCGTGAGCGAAGGCGCAGACGAGGACGAGGACGAGGACGAGGACGAGGATGAGGATGAGAACGAGAACAGAGAGAGCGGGTGGGGGCTAGGACTTGCTTGACAAGCACGAACGTCTGAATGACATTTACAGCTTGGCAAAAGAGGTTGCACGAAGCGAGAAGGAACATGGAACGTGACGTGACGAACGAGTCAGAGTGAATGTCTTCGAGTGGGTGCGTGCGTGCATGTGCAAAGATCACAACCTTTCATCACGATCGAGTTCTCTGTTCGAGGGCTGGGCTAATCGCACTCACGACTCGCATTACTTTTTGGTGAGCCACCTTTGCCAAGCAGCCAGTCAGCAGCTCTGCATGATACGGATAGCTTATAGCTTCTCATTGAGAACCACCTATGAAGCTGCTTCAGTCTTTGAGTGCATGCTGTATATATGGACCAATCAATGGAGCAGCGGTCGATCTATGCGCGTAGAGGGCGCAACTTAACAATGAATCAGTTTGAGAATGTCTTGGAGTGAGACATCATCAGCACCGCGTATGTGTCATGGCCTACAAGGCATATATATATGTACATAGGTATACTTTTTGTGTAGCTATGACGGGGATCAAGGATGCCAGACGCAATAATAATACGTACGTGAGCCTGATCACGCAGGGTGTATACATGTGATTCATATGTTCCATCCGCATTCTTGAGTCGTGATTGCTCTTGTTGCCGCATTTCGCCAGTCATCCATCTATACAGCCTCGGTACAGCAATAGTGCAGCACGCAGCACGCAGCACGCATCAGCAAGGGGCCGCGGGCTTTGCAACTCGACTCTTGACGCAACTGCCGTCATCCCCACATCCGTTCGCGAGCGTGATTCGCGCTGATTCGCATGCAGCAGATCCACAGCCAGCACGTCTCGTGGCCTTGCCTGCATGACACATCCTCACGCAAGGTACAACCGCGGATGAAGCTGGCTCAGTCATTAGGCCGTCGATCAGGATGATGAAGTCCTCATGACATTTTGTATTCGAGACCGCAATTGCAAATACGCGAACGACCTTTTCTCGAGGGATATATACCTCCGGATCAGCGTGAGAGTACTGAGATGGGGGCAGAGAAGCAGCTGTAGCTAGCTCGCCGCTCAAGCGTCGAGCTCAGCAGAGGCGAGTTTGTAGATCGTGCTGATAGGGAAATGAGTGCGAGAATATCAGAGTCGATCACCTCCAAAGCATCCGAACATCTCAAAGCGCAACTCACGCTTTCTGAATGTTGCTAGTTCCCTCATAGATAGCTGCAGGCCGAGGCAAGTGTGGAGCAGTGTCAAAATGGCCGCATGCGCTCCATTGCAAGTTCAAAAATCACTCACCTCCAATCTTGCTGTCGGACCAGAACTTGGGCAGACCAGACTCTCGCGTGAAGCCATAACCACCACACCATTCGATAGCGCTGCCAGACACGCTCTGAGCGACCTGGGAAGAGAAGAGCTTGGCCATGGCCGCCTGTTTCGTGAATGGTCTTCCTTCCTCCTTCAGCCTAGCAGCGTTGTAGACGAGTGCTCGTGCAGCTTCGATCTGCGTAGCGGCTTCAGCAATCTGGAATTGCATGCCTTGGAAAGTGGCCACTGGCTTGTTGAACTGCTCCCGCTCGTGAGCGTAGCGCACCGCCTTTTCGAACGCTCCTTGAGCCAGGCCGACCATCTGAGCACCGATTCCAACTCGTCCCTCGTTGAGGATCTCAATAGCGATCTTGTAGCCCTTGCCCTCCTCACCGATCAGATTCTCCTTGGGAATCTTGACCTCGTCAAAGTTGACTGTGCAGGTCGAACTAGCCTTGATGCCCAGCTTCTTCTCCTTCTTGGCAATCTCTACGCCGTGCTCCTTCTCCACCGCAAAGGCATTGATGCCCTTGTAGCCCTTGGAAGGATCGCTTTGTGCAAAGACGATGAAGAATCCCGCTTCGGCGCTGTTGGTGATCCACATCTTGCTACCGTTGATGATCCAGTCTCCATTGGAGTCCTTCTTGCAAGAAGTCTTCATGGCGAAGGCGTCGGATCCGGACGCGGGCTCGGAGAGGCAGAAGCAGCCGAGCTGGTCGAGGACAGACGACAGGCACGTGAGCTGAGTTGCACATGTGCGGATCGCGTCGCCTGCGATGCGTGGCCCTCGGATACTCACAGTATCAGCAGACAGCTTGGGCATGTACTTCTCCTGCAGTTCCTTGGAAGCATACTTGCGGAGGACGGTGTTGACGAGCGTCTGTGTTCAAAACGGTCAAGAGACAGCGTCAGCGGCCAAATCTCGCCCCTCGACTAATCAGGTGATTGCCGCCGCGCTGCTCACATTGTGGACATCGCAAAGCACAGAGACAGAGGGGTCAACCTTGGCCAGCTCTGGAGGGGAGATGGATCGACCATTCAGTGACGAATTTCCCAACGGCTACACCTCATGTACATGATCTGACTTGCGCAAAAGCACTTACCTTCGATGACGATGATGGCGGCAGTGAAGGAGCCGCCTGCACCACCAAGCTCAGGGTCAGTCTCGATAGCCATGAGACCCTGCTCAAAGAGTCCCTTGATGATTTCCGGGTCCATCTTTTCGTTTTCCTCCATAGCTTCCACCTTGGGGGCAACAACATCCTGGGCGAATCTCTGCACAGCCTCTCTGAGCATCTCCTCCTCTTCCGACAACTTGGACAAGGAATTGATACCGAAAGGAGACTCGAACTCGGCTGCCATGCCTCGAGCAGAGCTTGAAGAGAAAGAACGAGCGCTCGAGAGGGCGTTGGAGCTGGAGGGAGTGATGCGCTGTTGAGAACGCAGGGGGGCGACAGAGGCTGTGGCGGATACTGCGCTTCCGCTGCGAAGGCTTTGCTGACGAGCAGCAGCGCGTGCCGTAGCACGGAGCATGGGAGCGCGAAGGGCCATGTCTGTGAAGTGTTGCGAAGAAGTCAGAAGTTAATGTACACGTTGGCAGCTCACAAAAACTGCACTGGTTGTAAGACTTGCTGTGAGTAGAGGGTATTGTGGTGTGAAGGATGGATGATACTGGTAAATGTGCGTGGAGAATGGACCTGCTTGTGGGTCGGCTTCACATCTGTTTCTCAGATTCTCCGCTGTGCGCTTTCATGTGAATCTGCCACAGCGCGCGCGTCCCCCTTTACGGTTAGGAAAGGTCTGTCTGCCGTGGAGCGTGCTGGAAGTGGCGCGCATCATAAGTCACGAGCCCTGCTGCAGACGCGCCAAGGCTCGCTCATACGTGCCATCCAGCCTCACAGCCGTCGAGCCCACAAAGGCGGCAATCGCATTCACGATTCACGATACCAGATTACACATCGCACATTCCCCTGACCAAGAGCCGTAATCTCGTGGGCATGGGAGGGTATCTCTGGACGAGAGAGAGGGGGCACATCGACCCAATTCAGTACCCGATCGTAGAACCTATGCTGCGTTTCCCTTGCCCCCCTCTCGCTTCTCGCGCGCCTCGGTCTCGGGCATGGATTTCGCTCGGCCTGCACGCATCTCTCCCCGCTATTTCCTCGGGCCGGCATCCGTCCGCTCCGCGACTTGGCAGATGACCTCAGCAGCCAGAACGCGGCTGCAGCGTGCTCCCTCGCGATTCTTACTCAAGCGTCCAGACAATGAAGCCGCGCTCTGCATGCTTGATCTTCTGCCAGGAGGTGCATTTCTAGTGCGCTATTGTGAGCGACACA